ATGAAACACAAGAAGAAAGTCTCATTAAAGATCAAATTATTTTTGGCTTATATCCGATATGAATATCAAAGAGAAACTTTTGAGAGAAGCTGATATCAATTCAAGAAAAACTGCAGAATATTGTAGAGCTGTTGAAGCGAGCAAATTACAATTGAATGTGTTGAATAATGAATGTAAAATCAATGATTTGAAGAGAAACGAGGTCATGAAACAAAGAATTACAGACTGTAATTTTTGTGGTTATGATCATCCCATAAGAATGTGTCCAGCTTTCAACAAGGAATGTGGATTGTGTAAAGAAAAGGGGCATTTTGCAAAAAAAATGCAAGAAGAAGAAAAGTAGACAGAGAGTGAACGAAGTTTTGGATGATGAAGCTGAGGGAACTGATGAAGTTGAAGATGACCCAAATCATCATAATATTCCTGAAGAAGATTTGTTCGTCTACGCAGTTAAGAAATTGGGTTTGAATGAACACTCGGCATGGTACAATGATCTGAAAATCAATGATAAGGTCATCAAATTTAAATTAGATAGTGGGGCAGAAGTAAATTGTTTGCCCATATCCAAATTCTTGGGGATAAATAATAGACCTCCTATTACTAAAAGAAATATTTCAATTGTTGGGTATGGTAATAATAATAAATCAATTCCATGCATAGGATCAGTCAACTTGAATTGTCAGATCAAGAACAATGTTAGTGAAGTTGAATTTTTCATTATTGATATGAATTGTGATCCTATATTGGGGCTCCAAGACTGCGTGAGACTTGGACTAATTGAACGATTAGATGAAATTTGTATGTATCCGAAGAATTCGAATGAGTTTATTTGTTAGTATTCTGATGTGTTCACAGGTTTAGGTGAATTTCCGGGAGAATATCATATACAGATCAAGTCAGATGCTATTCCAGTAATCAATCCACCTAGAAGAATTCCTCAAACACTAACTGTGCGTCTAAAAGCAACATTAGAACGATTAGAGAATAGTAGTATTGTTTCTAGGGTTAACAAACCTACAGCTTGGGTCAATAATTTAGTTATAACGGAAAAAACCAATGGTCAATTACGACTCTGCTTAGATCCTCGAGATTTGAATCGTGCTATAAAACGGGGATTATTTCTTATTCCTAAACCTGAAGATATCATAGCCGAACTATCAGGTATGTCAGTTTTTTCGGTACTAGACATGAGGGAAGGATTTTGGCAGGTTAAACTTGATGACTCAAGTGCAGATTTATGTACATTTAATACACCCTATGGTAGGTATCGGTTTAATAGAATGCCTTTTGGTATTTGTTCAGCCCCAGAGGTATTTCAGAGAAAAAATTCTGAGCTCTTCGGGGACCTTCAGGGAGTAAGTATTTACTTCGATGACATCATTATTTATGGAAAAATCGATAAAGAACATAATGAAAATTTGAAACGATTGATGGAAAGAGCTATAAAGTATAACATGAAATTCAATAGGGACAAATTGCAGTTCAAATTGTCTCAAGTAAAATATTGTGGTCATATCATAACAGAAAATTGTATCAAAATGGACGAAAAATACATCAAGGCTATCTTAGAGTTTGAGTATCCGAATGACAAAAAAGCATTAGAAAGGTTTGTGGGACTAATTAAATATTTATCTAAACTTATTGCTACTGCTTCTCAGTTGACTGCACCATTGAGAGAACTCATGAAGGAACATGTAATCTACCAACTAAATGCTAGTTACAGAACAATCATAGATCAGCTGAGAAATATAATTAGTAATGCTCCAGTTTTGAAAATATTTCCTAGTAAAGATCCTATAGTAATTCAAACTGATGCTTCACAGTCTGGAATTGGTGCTTGTCTCTTGCAAAATAATCAACCTGTGGCATTTACTTCCAGGAGTCTAACTGATTGCGAGAAGAGATATGCCCAGATAGAGAACTGGTACTGGTACTGGTGGGGGACGTTTCCACGTCAGCAACTAGTCCCCAATGGGACCTTTTTGCAAACCCCAAGTGTTAGTGTTTTCAATGACTGATGTGGTTCGCTCAAGAGAGCTGGCTAACATCCTTTTCAGGCACCGCCCATCAGCTCTCTTTTCAGAGTTTTTCAGCTGTGTATTGTAGGCTAGTAATGTACTCACTACCATATGCGCAGTGGCAGGCCTGCTTACTATCCTCGTTAACCCCAGGGATCGAGGTCTACTTAAGCAGCTGGCCCGCTCTCACGCTCAGCTGGTAATTTTCCACACCCACCTACATACACCGTCCTACTTCTTCTCTGATGCTCACATTCACATCATCATATCTTTCTGCGTGTTCTGTGTAGGCTTTGTTACTAACTCCATGCGCCACTTTAGGAGCAGCACTGTTAATTGGAACGCAACAGCGAATCGTGCAGGACCATTCCCAGCCGATGCTCCGAAACTTTACAATATTTAATTCGTAAATAAAATAAAAAAAAAATTCCTTGCCCGTGCTGGGAATCGAACCCCCGACCTTGCGGTCGTGAGACGGACGCTCTTCCACTGCGCCAATCCCGACTGTACCAGATAGAGAAAGAAATGCTGGCAATACAATATGCATGTGACAAGTTCCATTATTTCATTTACGGTAGACCGGTAATAGTACATAGTGATCATAAACCACTGGACAGCATTTTCAAGAAGAGTATTGACAAGTTATCTGGTAGGTTACAAAATATCAGGTTGAAAACTTTCAAATATAACATTGATGTGGTATATCTCAAAGGTTCTCTTATGTATATTGCTGACTTCTTATCCAGGGCATATCTTAAAACAACAGATAATGCTGAGAATGGAGAAGAAATTATGGTTCACATTATCTCAAAATATATTCCAATGACCGAAAAAAGGAAGGCCCAATTTAGGGTAGAGACCCAGAAAGATAATGTGTTGAAAACAGAAACTGTTTGGCCAAATAAAAAGCTTAATCATCACTTGGAACATTTCAGAAAGTTGAAGTGTGACCTATCTGTCTCAGATGATATGATTTTTCTCGAAGATAAGGTGATGGTTCCAAAATCATTGATTCCTGACATGTTAGGTTTGTTGCATGAAAACCATTTTGGTTTGAATAAAACAAAAGCTAGAGCCAGACAAATCTTGTATTGGCCAGGAATGTGAATAAAGACATTGAAAATTACATCAAAGATCATAAAATTTGTGAAAAATATTCAATGCAGAATATAAAACAACCTTTGGAACAGCCAAATTTACCTAATCGACCTTGAGAAAGAATATCTTCTGACATCCTTTTTTATGGGGGTCGTGATTATTTGGTTGTTTTCGATTCGTATAGTAAATGGACCGAAATTTGTTCTCTAAAATATAAGACGGCTAGTGAAATTATCAATCATATGAAAGAAATCTTCAGCAGGCAAGGAATACTTGATATTCTTATGTCTGATAATATGCCATATAGTAGTTCAGAATTTTTAAGTTTCTCGAATACGTGGGGTTTTAGGACTATTACATCTAGTCCTAAATATCCACAATCTAATGGTTTGGCAAAAAAAGCTGTAGGAATAGCGAAAAATATTCTTCGCAAGGGTACTGATTTATATTCTGCACTATTGGAATATTGTAATTCACCCATAGTGTCAATTGGTCTATCTCCAAGTCAACTTCTCAATAGTCGAAGATTGAAAGATAAATTATTGAATCCAGATAAAAATGATGAGGAAAGTATTCAAAGATCACTAAAAAAAAAACAAGATATGCAAAAATATTATTATGATAAAAAAGGTACTGCTAACTTGAAAAATCTGGAAAATGGTGAAAATATTATCATCAGAAAAGAATATGAATGGTATCCAGGTAAAGTGGTAGAAAAACATGATACACCACGATCATATATTGTCAGTGATTCTTCAGGTCGAATATTACGCAGGAATATGATAGATCTGAAACAATCAAGAATTGTGGAAGATAGTTATCGAGACGTATCTCCTATATCAGACTCATCTTATAGAGATGTATCTCCTAGTTGCGATCCATCTCCTAGTTCAGACTTATCTCCTAATCATGCCCCTAGTATAACTTATTCAGAGGAAAATCCTGGCGATTCGATTATGTGCGTACCATCTGAAAGATACATTGATCAAGATGATGAGGTTTCTTGAGAGTTATCATTTATGAGATTTTCTGTGTTCAACAATGTTCATTACCCATTCATTGTAGTAGGTGTTTCATTCAATTTTTGATTGTAACTTGTTGATTGCATATCTGATCTTTTTAGTGAAGAGGTGTAAGGTTTGGAATGTTATTTAATTATGAACACTCCATATGATGACGGGGGATGTCACGAGATAGAAAACTAGTGTCATACTGAAAAATAAAGAATGCATGTTCAGCACCAATTGCTTACATTTATTACATTCTTTACAGTTGGTTTCTTTATATAAGGTTTCGCTGGTATAAAACCTATGTTTCTTTAATATAATCTTGATCAAAGTGTTTTGGGTGGCTTGAAGGCTACCCAGGACGTTTTTCAACATTCCTCCCCAAGCAGTGATACAATATTGTATGACTGATTCGGCCAGCGAGTGATATAATATAATCATATTTTTCTTATTTAAGATTCCTCTCAGAGTATAAAACTTATATGACAACTGTCTTAGCCTCTTCGTGACATATAAAGCGTGTTCATCCCATCTCATATGCTGGTCAAGTATTGTCCCAAGATATTTGATTTTTGATACTTTCTCGATTGTAGGGCAATCACAGGGATGTTCAGTCGAACATTTAGGAAAGTGAATCCTCAATGAATTACTTTCTGGATGATCTCTATTTCCTATTCTACGCCTATGGTTTACTGTGGATAGTCGCATGTGACTTGAGCTCCTGAAAAAGTATTCAAAAACTGATTACTGTGGTGTGTTAAGGCCTGAAAATAAGTTCATAACGTGTCTAAAGTGGTGAACTTATTTATCGTAAAACCTAACCAGGGATATAAAAGAAGAGATAGAAAAGTCGGTAAATCAAGCCGTAAGTAAATGCATGCAGAGCAAAGAATTCATAGAAACAATCGTCGATAATGTGACTGAGGCTATTGTAAAAACTCTCGATAAACGGTTCACCGATTTGGAGAATTCAGTGGCGTCCCTCAAATCAGATTTTGATTCGGCACAACATAAAATTGCAGAAAAAACTCAATCATTGGAAAACACCATGAGTGATGAAACCCGTAAAAGAGAGGAAGCTGAAATGAAACTTGAATATTCTGATCAACTAAGTCGACAAACAAGTCTGAGAATCTTTAACCTCAGAGAAATGTCAAAAGAGAACACCAGGACCGAATTAATTGATCTTTTCAATTCGAAAATGGGGATGAAGCTGAAATCTGAAGATATAGAAATATGTTATAGAGTGGGTAAACAAAATAATAAACATTCCCGATGTACATACTTGAAGTTAAGCAACATAGCAGTGAAACAAAACATATATGCGAAGAAGAAGATGCTCAAAGGCACTGGAATAGTCGTTAAAGAAGATCTGACCAAGAAAAAAGTGGATCTGGTGAATCAAATAGCTGAAAAAATTGGTTTTAAGAATGTGTGGCCTGAAAATGGGAAAATTTATGTATTTCATAATGAAAGAACTCAATTAATTACCAGTACAAATAATCTCCAAGAGCTACAAAATAAATAAATTGATTTTCATGTTTCTACAATAAAACAATTTGTTTCTTTCAGGATGATTTTATTCATATATGAATGACTGCATATGTATGTAGGTGTGTATATGTATATATGTGTCTGCATGAATGTATATAATATACATGTATTCAATTTTTTTCTGTTTTGTGTACATACTCATGCCTTATATAATCACTAAATAATATTTTCAGGAGTTCCTCAGGTTTCGCAATGATTATGCTGGATTTTCTAAATGAAAAAGATAGTCAACAGCAAGTTGATACAAGAGAACTTAGTAGTTTACACGAATATATAGATGAGGTGAAAGGGAAAACAGAGAATGGTATTGGCATAATACATTTCAATATTCGTAGTCTGAGGAAGCACTTCGATGAACTGCTCATCTATCTGGAAAAGGGGAAAGATGTCTTAGATAGTCTGTGATAGTTTTATCAGAAACGAGGCAAGTTGACTTGAATAATTTCATAATACCAAATTACACAGCCTATTATAATAACTCGATCATAAATAAATGTGACGAAACTATCATTTATATGAAAAATGATATGACTCCATCCATTGTAGTAAAAAAAATCAACGATAGTAATTTCCTTCGTGCTACTTTCAGTTTGAATAATAATAAAAAAACTGCTTACTATAGACCCCCTTCAACAAGCACTCAAAGTTATATTGAAGACTTGGAAGAATACCTGTTATCAGTTGACAAGCAAAACTTAGGAATTTATCTGGGAGATATCAACATCAATTTACTAAGATTAGATCTGAGCGAAACAAATAAATATCTTGATTTATTGACCCTAAATGGATTTGTTTCATACATTAATAAGCCAACACGTGTTACACTTGAATCTAAATCGGCTATTGACCATATTTTCGTTAAAAAAATCACCATATTATGAATAAAATACAAATAGACCCTATAATTTTTCATACTGACATAACCGATCATTTCAGTACTTCCATTTTTATAAAATTTTCAGAACCTAATTCTAATCCTACGAAATCTAGAAAAGAAACAATTGTAAAATAAATAAATCTTGAAAAACTTGAGAAATTGATTAGCAACGAGCTGTGGATAAATGTGGTGAGTAATCAAGACGTTCAAACATCTTACAATCACTTCATTCAAAAACTCAATGAATATATCGAAAAAGCCACTAAATTAAAAACCGTAAAAAATAAATATCGGAAAATAAAACCTTGGATTTCTTTAGGTTTAATTACTTCAATTCATAAACGGGACTCATTAAAAAAACAACTATTGAATAACTATTCTATTGAACTTGAGCAGGAATACAAACGATACCGGAATAATCTTAACACACTAATAAAAAAGAGTAAAAATGATTTTTATCAAGGAAAATTGAGTGAAGCAGTTGGGAACTGTAAAAAAACTTGGGGTATAATAAATGATATCTCAGGCACCAAAAAAAATTCAAATGTTCCTCAGACTGACATTTTCAACGAAAACGGACTCTCAATAAGTGATTATAACGAAAAAGCAAATTTGTTCAATGAGTTCTTTTCTAGTTTAGGGACTGAAATGGCAAGAGATATTGAAAAAATTGATTTACCACCATATTTTTTAAATGATTTGTCTATACGATCATCATTATTCCTAGAACCCATCACAACTTCAGAATTAATATCCTTCATTTCAAAATTAAAAAATAATTGTTCCCCAGGGCCGGATGGAATTAGTACAAAAGTTATAAAAGTTATCCACAAACATATCCTGACCCCTCTTCAACACATTATAAATCTCTGCTTTCTCAATGGAAAAATGCCTGTGCAATGGAAATAATCCGTAGTCACCCCAGTATTTAAATCTGGAAAACGCAATTTATTGACAAATTATCGGCCCATCTCCGTTATTAATAATTTTGCTAAATTATTCTAATATGCTCTTAAGACACGATTAATTACATTTTTGGACAAGCATCTCATAATAACCAGTAGTCAATATGGATTTTTGCAAAATTATAATACAGAGGATGCCATCATGAGCTTTGTTGAAAAAACAGTGGGTGTCATGGACAAATCAGATAAGTGCCTGGCCGTCTTTCTTGATTTGGCCAAGGCATTTGACACTGTTTCCCATAACAAATTATTAGTTAAAATGAGTGACTACGGTATTCGAGGGTTAACGCTAAGTCTTTTTGAGAACTATTTAAAAAACCGAACACAGAAGATAAAGATAGGAGATGTGTTGAGCTCCGAATCAATAGTTGAGACGGGAGTGCCACAAGGTACAGTATTGGGACCCATACTGTTTCTGATATATATAAATAGTATTGCAAAAATCAATAATTTCAAAGGCTAAATGATTTGCTACGCTGACGATACAGCAATTATATTTACTGGGAGAAGTTGGGATGAGGTACACAAACAATCTGAATGTGGTTTGAAGAATATAAAAATCTGGTTGAATCATAACTCATTAAGCCTAAACGTTGCGAAAACGAAATATATCACCTTCTCACCTACGATAAGCGACCAACCCGATATAAATATTAAATTACACTCCCCCAGATGTGAAGATTTTGTTGAGTGTACCTGTCCCAAATTGCAAAAAGTTGTAGTCCTAAAATACCTTGGTGTTATGATTGATCAGCATGTCAGATGGTCCGACCATATTACCTATGTGATAAAACGATTAAGAGCTCTGATTCACAAATTCTTTCTATCACGAAAAAATCTCATTATGTTATACAACTCGTTGGTTGAATCTACCTTAAGATATTGCATAACAATTTGGGGAGGTGCTTTCACAAGCACTCTGCAAAACTTACAAACAACTCAGAACGATTTACTGAAAATATTGTTTCATAAGGAAAAACTCTTTTCTACGAAATTACTTTACCAAGATACCAGTTTATTCCAAGTGAGACAAAGGACCCCGCACTTTTTCGATATAAAAATGGCGTTCTGTCGAATTTCCTGAATTTCTGGTATATTAGAGAACTCGACCTGATGATCAGATATGCCGAATCCTAATCCGATCCTATGACCAGTTTTTGAGATACAGGGTGTTGAAGTTGAGAAATGCCCCCTTTTCATCTACCCATATTTCCAAGAAAAGACAAATGAATCAGAATTTTCTGCTAGCAGTTTTTCACTTTAACCTTTGGGTAGAACAACCATGAACAGAATCAACCGAAGCTGATCTTTATCACAGGGTGATTCACATCTGAATTATTGTGTAATTTTCAATTTCTAAATATCGAAACTACAACTTGATTGAAATTGAAAAATCAAAATTATCATTCGATATGTTCTTCTTACATGAAATTGATTCATTATATGTATTGATTATACATGGTGTTTCGTGAATGCTGCGGCGAAACATACTGTATACAGCTGTGTTCGATGCGATGTATATTCATCGAGCGCTCGCCTCTTTTTGTCGCTAGGGAAAAACTAGGCCCGTCCGCGATAAACTTGCTCGGCAAAATTTATTTCAGCTCACGCGGATTTTCGATCGAATCTTCTGCCTATTTGTAGGTGTTTTGTGTTTTGGTATTCCTCAACCCTGAAAGGCTTGAGGGTTTGTTTCGCTGTGCGTTGTACCTGCCCTTTAAGGTGAGCATGTTTTTTCTTATTTACATTTGCGTTTCTGGGGGCTTCTCTACGAGGAACTTGTATATTTGTTTTGTATAATGTATAATATAAAAGTTTATCATTTTTCTTCTTGATTGTTAAAAGTTCTACTGGAAGCGGTGTTACTTATATCTATTTCCTTTAAGGTTGTGGAATATTGAATAAAATAAATTCGTCAGTAAGAGCTAGCCACCCTAGTATTTATTTGAAGAACCTCGACCCTTTGATCAGTGGCGGCGCTTAGCCGGGCGCTCCGCTACATCTTTGTCACCCAACTAGTGGCAGATTAAATACAGGGTGTGGAAAAGCAGTCATGGTCCTTACAAGATCACCAAAAGGAAATATCCCCGGGCGAATGTCACCCCCACTGACCCGGGGTAGGAACCTGCTAAATAATTCCAGGCAAACTGTCGATACGACAACAAAGTTACCAACCCCTGCAGAAACGACGGGGGCAATTCCGAGAAGACATAAGGGAATGTGGAGTAATGGTAATAGAGATGGAAACCAAACGCATCTCACTGCAGCAGCAGAGGGTATACCATCAGCCCCTTCACCCCCATCTTCTAGAAGGTCGACTCCTCCACCCCCCTATCGACAGAATACAAAGGTATTTGAGCAAAACAAGGACCAAGTGAGTGATACTGATGATTTTTATATTAGGAATAGTAATTATATGAATAGATCACTAGATTTAGGGCATGTAAATAATAGCAATGATAATGATGTCCCAGTTAGATCAAGCTTTAGCGATAGTAACTTAAGAGAAAAAGCATTTGTTCAGGGAAAAAAACACTATTGGAGTGCACGAAATGAACATATGAATAATGCAAATCGCGGACTTCCTGCAAATGTACAGGGTGATCGTGATTTTACTTCTCAAAATGTCATGAATTTGAATTATTCCGTTCCTCCACCAAATATAACTTATAATATTCCTACGGAATTATATGATGTACAGGGTGGACCAAGTAACCCTGCATTATCAAGAAATGAAAACTATAGTGGAATTTCTAAGAACAAGAACAATTTTGAACAAATCCCTGCGAACTTTTCAAAAACGATACCAAACGAACTATTACAGGGTGGTTCATCAGTTCCTAACGAAAAATTTCCTTTTCAATATAGAAATAGTCAACCACAATCATTCCAAGATTATTATGTACCGAGAGAACAGAATAATTCATATAATTATGTACCAACCGAAATTCTACAGGGTGGTCTTCCTGGAAGAACTCATGTACAACCACAAGGTTTTCCTCCTCATTCGCATAGCACTTTCCCATCACGTGGCGCAATACATAGTTCGAACAAGAATACATACATTTCCCCACCAAATATACAGGGTGGTCCAATAAATTATATTCCTCAAGAAATACCACGTGACGTGAA